TGAAATGATAATTTGGTTTAACTTTGAAGGGGCAATTAGTGATATTGTTTATGTTCTAAGAAGAAAATAAGTTTAAGATGAAAAATTTGGAAAGAGAATAATATGGCTGAAATTAGAAACAGAACTATAATGTAAAATGGATTATGTACAAGAGAGAATGTAAAAGAAAAGTGGACAATACTTCATTTATAAAGTATGTCAAAATTTGTAATAAAAAATAAAAACCTTGAAAAAAAAAGACCATCTAATGGGAAAAGGTAATGTGGGTTTGCTTTTAGATATGTAGTTCTGGGATAATATTAAATATTAATAATGAAGTCAAATATGATATGACCCATCTGCTTAGTGAACTTAAAGTTGATGATAAAAAAAGTCAGTTACAATTTTGATTTCCTAGCCTCACGAATAAATAAAGATGATAGTGAACTAGTTTATTGCTGAAGTAAAGAGGGCAGTAATTCTAAGAAGGAATGTGCAGTCGAAGTTAGACAAGATAATGAGAAAGAGGATAAATTATGGATCAGATGACATTTAGTAAGATTACCATGGATCGCAAATAGCAGCAGCCAATCAATTCTGGCGCAAATAGGTTGATCATACAGGCATGTGCGACAAGGAACTGATAGGCTAGAAAAAAATATATTTAGCGAAGTTGAGAGAAATCAAGAGAAATAGAAACAAATAACCTGGATAGATGTGATCAAAAAGATGTGGCAATGGTGAAACGAAATAAATGACTCTATAACAGTGGTACTGGAGAAATACCTGTTCATTGGTTCTATGTGTCCAGAGTCACAGGGCCATTGTCTCTCTGAGTAGGAAATCTTCCTGCATTGGCCTTTTAAGGACAGCTCAGGGGAATGCCCTCCTCCCGTGGTTAGGTACTTTGAGTAACACATAATTATTATTCATTATATTTACATCTCACAATGCCATAGGAACTCAAAATAATATATACCGGTACTGGAGTCTCCCCTAATTTTATTTCCAACAATAGCCACCCTGTAAGTTGGGTTACACTATGAGTGAGTACGTGGCTCTGAGTTGGATTGAATTTGAATTTGACTCCATTGATCAAAATGACATATTGGTAAAAATATTATTTTTTGTATGAACCTGGCCTATTTTAATATATTATTGTCGAGTTCTTAATGGTGTACTAAATTGTAATTCAGTTGTAGGTAGGTTATTCCGTCACAGGTTCTACATTTTACTGCTATAAATCCACCGTAATCCATTGTAGCAGTTTAATTGGCAAAATATAAAAAGAACCCAGAGACTATTGGCCTTAGCAAATCAAACAACATTTTTAGATTGTTTTTATCCCATCTTTATTATTTTTATAAACAACTCAGAGTTGAGAACATATGTATATACTGCTTGAAAGATGAGCAAGTGAAAAGGGTTTAAGCTCATGATGCAACAGGATAAATATTAAATTATAAAATATGTAAAGTGTACATATGCAGCTGAACATTTATGTGTCATTTTAAGCTCATTTTAGAGAATATTTTAATAGTTGATGCAAAAAGCAAACAAAAGTGTTATTGAGACCTGATCATAATGAAAACTAGGTAGGTTGAAGGTGAATTTAATCACCCCAAATTCCACTTCTGAAGGTTGCTCTGTCTCAAAATAAGTAAATACACACTAGCATTGCAAGAAAGACTGATACGACAGGGGAAACACTAGACATGAATTCCCCCCCCCCTCCCTTCCCCAAAGCTTCAATTTGTCTTTCTGGAATATGTATTTATTTGTTTATTTTATTACTTATTTTGTATAGAGGAGCATTTTTTATCTTCAGCATGCAGTCTGCAAAGTAGAACTAGCCAAAACTAGAAACTTATTTCTGAGTAAATGTGGGGTGTTTTTAGATTTTTTTAAATCCTATCTTTTATTATTTTTATAAAATAACTCAAGGTTGTGAAGATACCTAATATTCCTTCCTCCTCCTATTTTCTCCAACAACAGCAACTCTGTGAGGTGAGTTGGGTTGAGAGAGAGTGATTGGCCCAAATTCACCCAACTGTTTTTCATGTCTAAGGTGAAACTAAACTCAGTTTCCTTATTTCTAGCCTAGTCCTTAATCACTGAAAACTATGTACTATAGTAAAAACAACAACAACATTAAACTATTTTAAATAAGAAAAAAAATCAGGGTTGTGGGGTAAATTTTTTGATACATGATCATCCAAATGTCAGTATTACATTCAAAAATCTTAATTTTTGATGGGTTCTGAGCCAGAGTATTCCAAAGGTCTTCCTTCTTCAAATCGCTACTGATGATCACAGTATTATAGCAAGTAATAAAATCAGAAAAGCACTTTTGAGATGTGTGACAATCAGTATGTGGAAGTTTTGAGTTTCAGAATTGCGAAAACTCAGTTTTTATATAAGAGGTATAAACTGCTTCAAAATCAGATACTCTTTGTGTTTGGATGTCACATTAAACATTAATCACACATGCCCCAGATTATGAATTCAGAAGGAGATCAGAGGCATTTGCTCTTATTTTGAATTCATTATAGCCTTCTATGGTATTCAAATTTGGTAAACATGGATAAATCTCTACTGAGATTTGTTTAGATCTTCATTTTGGGTGACGGCGATACACAACTTTTTCTAGGCCAAATGCCACAGTTGAATTAAATGGGATGTTAGGGACTACTTTCTAAAAGCTAAAAGCTAGAATAAATCCCAAGTTTGATTTTAATGAACTTCTTTAATAATTAAACAATTTCCCTATAATGTTGTTTATGTCCATTAAAATGCATGTCATTTATTCACCGGATCAAATTACGAGTCAATAACACCTCATTTTTTTCTGTTGTCAACAGAGAAAATATGTCAATCTTTTCAAATCATTCATAGTTCAGTAAACATGAACTAAGATTTTTTGATGAATCAATTAAATTTTACATGCACTAAAACAAATTTTACATTTTTTAAATAATAGATGTTCCAGTTCTTTAATCTGTGAACCATCAATACTCTTAATGTGAACTTTTAAAATATTCTTTCATTTTTAGAATAAAAATTATATTTTAAACATACAAATCCATCAAGTATATATTTTTTGTTTCTCAGACATAGCCAAAACATCTGGTCCACATTGATATGTTAAAATATGCTTGAGTTGATAGTTATCACTCTTGTGAATTAGGGAGAAGTCAAGAAAAATGTTTAATCATTACAAAGTAATTGTATTCCAGAGTTTTCCCACAGCTTCCAATAGAACATTTTGTCTCTAATTGACATTTAATTTTAATTAGAATTTAATCTGATTAATATACTATTCAGTCATTTTTCATAATTTTCCATCCCCACTTCTCTCATTATATTTAAGTTATCATTAGCTACAAATTTTAGAAATGTCTGGAGCAATCCTGTGGCTCAGAGCTCTTAGCCTATAAAGGCTTTCATTTATGCAACTGGCTGATTTCAGAAAAGCAGAATGAATGTTAATTACTGTTTAAGCATAATAGTATGTTTTGATTAACTGAACTTCAAGCAAAATTGAAGTTGTTTGATAACCTTTCCAGAGGAAGTAAATGATTTTGGAAACTGAGAGAAAGGCTAAGTTCATTCGTCTATGGAGATTCTCAGTGATCCAGGGCACTGTTGTCCCAAGGGTGCTTTTTCAGGAGGCAATTGGACTTTCTTGTTTTTTCTTTTTTCTTTTAAAGACATTTTACTTCTCATCCAAAAAGTTTCTTCAGCTCTGATGGATGATGGAGGATGGAAGGATTTATACTCCTTGCAGAAAGCTGGTCATTTGCATTCTTTTAGCGAGTCATTGAGACCACCTGGAGGTTTATCTGACCTCAGGGTCTCCTGAGTAGTGCAGTTGAGTATGGAGCCTTCATGGTTGCAGGATTTTTTTTTTGTCCTGTGTCCCTTCACTGTTGAAGACAGGCACAGGCTGTTGAGGATGCATCTGTGTTGCCTGAATCAGACTGAAGTGCAAATGGTTCTTGTGGTCTGCAATTTTTCTGGAAATCCATTCATACTACCACATCATTTGAAGGGTGTTCATCCCAAAGAACATAGCTAAAAGTCTATGGAGATTCTCAGACATCCAGGTCATTGTTGTCCCAATGGCTTCAAACCCATCTGCACTACTCAGATGTCCCCGAGGACACAGATTGTGGCCTTGACAACTGTTTAAAACAATGCAAATGACCAGCTTTCTGCAAGGAAAATAAATCCTTCCATTCTCCACCATTCAGTCAGAGCTGAAGAAGCTTCTTAGATGAGAAGTGAAATGTCATCAAAAGCAAGAAAGTCCAGTTGCCTCCTGAAAAAACACCTTAGGGATGGCTAGGTTCATTCCTACTGTAACCACTGTTCACATGGTGTCTGAACACAAAAACTTTACAGTTTATAGTTTTTACCTTTTCAATGTATTTATCAAGATAGGCCTTTAAAATAGCTTCAATTTTTTTTTCCAGATCAGTCTGGGAGACCTTCTTATTTGCAGTTCTTTTATCCACCTTTACAACTTTGCCCTGCTTATGTTTGCTGGGTCCAAACTTTCAAATGTGGCTGAGAGTGTTCAGTAAAAATGGGTAAGTTGCATATGGTTGGAATTTGCAATGCCATTAGTGCTGTTGAGGTTAGTCATTTCTTTAATAGTTTAATCATAGTGAAGGAATGGTCATATTCTTATCTGAGACAAGGCATAAAAAGCTGCTGCATTCTGGCCTAGCAGCTCCAAGTAGTAATCTACAAATGCAGAACTGCTCAATGGCTCCTTCTCCTGCCACCAGAAGTAGTTACAATTGTGATTTCTCTTCTCCATCATTTATTTGAAATAGAATCCGCACATTTTTTAAACTCTTAACAAGCCAGAGTTTATTGCTTGGTTCCAACTTCCAGGTATGAGTTTTTTTAAAAAAACAAACTAGCGTTAGGTTCACATGTCATACTATATAGATACGGTACTTTTCTGATTTGGGTAAGTTGTTCTACCAATAGGAGGCACCAAACTGCAGAATTCAGCTTAGTGGGGTGTTTGAATTAGGCTTTAGCATTCAAACCCTAAATTGTAATGCAAGAACAAATCTGCATCATAATTTTGGATATGAAGCTGGCTTCTTATTTACTAATCACATGCAAGATTAACTGTGATTAATATGTCTAATCGCATAGTCTTATGCGGTGACTCAGTGGCTAAGACACTGAACTTGTCGATCAGAAAGGTCAGCAGTTCGGTGGTTCGAATCCCTAATGCTGTGTAACACAACTCCCGTTACTTGTCCCAGCATCTGCCAACCTAGCAGTTCGAAAGCACGTAAAAATGTAAGTAGAAAAAGAAGAACCACCTTTGGTGGGAAGGTAACATTTAGACATTTTTTTTTAGACATTTTATTAGGATTTAATAAACAGCGTTTATTAAACAGCGTAACAGCGTTTCGTGTGCCTTTGGCATTTAGTCATGCCAACCACATGACCACGAAGACATATTCGGACAGCGCTGGCTCTTCGGCTTTGAAACAGAGATGAGCACCATCCCCTAGAGTCAGGAACAACTAGCACATATGTGTAAGGGGAAACTTTACCTTTACCTGATAGCTGGAGTCCAAAAGCTGAGGGTTTCTGCACCATTTCTTCACAATGCTAAACATTCTTATTCAAGACACTGGCTCATAATAAAACAGTCTAAATAGGTTTATATTATGCTAGTTAATTCTAGCGTGTACTCATTGTTTATTTAATATGTTTTGCTTTACTTGTAAAAAAAATCTACTCTGAAAAAATGTTCCTAAGAGTTTGGGTTTATAGCTTGCATCCTTTCGATAACAACTGTCTTTGGGGAGGAAATTATTTTAATTTTTTTTGCATATTTTGTAAATTTCCTGTTAAATATAAAGATGCAAAGCTAGGTATATGCTGAAGTATCTCAAAAGCTGCTTGTTCTTAGCAACTTGACATTCTGTTGAAAAGGTCAGATCTTGATGTAGAAACAATTTGGTTAAATGAGCCCTGAAATTTAACTTGTTGGATCTTCTCTGATAATGTCTTTCATGTGCTGAACCCATTTATCTTAAGGCAGCCCATTGCTCCTCCCAATTCACACGTTTAAAATTTTAAGATTTCCTTATAAGCTTATACTCTTACTTGATAGATGCCTTTGATGGCTATGCTTTCCACACTTAGCCAGCTAGATTGGAGGTGCTGTGCAGGTAGCTCTTGAGTTATGATGTCATGTGTCTGCATCATTTAGCGACAGCAGTCCTTTTGTGCGCCTGTCATTTTCAAGACGTTACTGTATGCTGTAAAGTGACATGGCAGTGATTTTTTAAAGTTACTTTTCATCTAGAAGGCATTCAGTCATGTCAACTTTACAAGACTTAATTAGTCTCAGTTATTGTCTATGCTTCTTCAGCCAATGCAAAATGATAATTTACCCTATAAAATGCTCCAGTGGGTTTTTCATTTCTGGTTTGAAAAGCTGTAAAAAACAATAGTTGGCTTCTGAAAAGCTCATAACATCTACTTTTAAAATACACTATATTGCCAAAGGTATTCGCTCACCCATCCAAATAATCAGAACCAGGTGTTCCAATCACTTCCATGGCCACAGGTGTATAACATCAAGTACCTAGGTATGCAGACTGTTTTTACAAACATTTGTGAAAGAATGGGTGGCTCTCAGGAGCTCAGTGAATTCCAGCGTGGAACTGATAGGATGCCACCTGTGCAACAAATCCAATTGTGAAATTTCCTTGCTCCTAAATATTCCACAGTCAACTGTCAGCTGTATTATCAGAACGTGGAAGTGTTTGGGAACAACAGCAACTCAGCCACGAAGTGGTAGGCCACGTAAACTCGTCCAACATCAGTGTGTGACCTCACAAATGCGCTTCTGGAAGAATGGTCAAAAATTCCCATAAACACACTCCTGAACCTTGTGGATAGCCTTCCCAGAAGAGTTGAAGCTGTTATAGCTGCAAAGGGTGGACCGATGTCATATTGAACCCTATGGATTAGGAATGGGGTGTCACTTACATTAAGTTCATATGCGAGTAAAGGCAGGTGAGCGAATATTTTTGGCAATATAGTGTACTTGATTTATTTGTCTTTAACTCTGAAAGTTTGGACTGAAATGATATGTTTAACTGGCACTATAATACTATTAAGAAATGTTCTGTTGCATAACAATGAATGATTAGCATCTTTACAGCTCAGGGAGCAATAGTTTTTATCATCTTTTTGTTTCTCATTTGCATTTTTTTCAGTTTCCGTGAAACTTCATTCCATGAGTCAGAGAACTCTGTGATATGTCAGTTTCATTTTTTGTTCAGCATCTTTAGACACAGATGATGCAGATGTGGGTTGAGAAAGCAAGTTGTATAATCATCTTTGCCTTAAGCCAAGTCAATCCTTAAGTATAAGAAAAATATAGATACATTTTCTTTTATAAAATAATATTAAATTCTAAAACAATTTCAATTTTAAATAAAATGTAAATATCTAGATTTTTTTAATATTGCAAATAGGACAACAAAGTACACTTCTTGTATTTCTGAATAGGCACAAAAAGGCTTTGGGATTTCAAAGTAATATTGATTGGATGATAATGATATTATAAAGATTATAATAGGTATAACCAGACAGCTAGTAAAAGCACAATAAAACAGTGCTGGGTTTTGGCTGCTGCTATTGCTGGTTTGCTCAGGGACATGCTGCGTGCGCGCTTGATGCGAACATGCACAGTACTTTAAAAAAACAAGATGGCAGCGCTTATGGTGCCACCAAGAGAACCGGTTCGGAGGTGTGGCAGGCCGAGTTACTACCTATGTGGACAAACTGGGCTGAACCGGTAGGAACCCACCTCTGCAATAGAAGTACTAAGATGAACTGAATTAATTTCTGAAAACATGTTTTTCTTTAAACCTGTAGCTTAGAAGAATCTAAAAATACAAGATTACAGAAGCACAAATTCCATTAGCTATCACATGATGGCATGACATGTATGTAGCATCTCAAAAACTCCCCTGTACATTTGTCAGAGAATGATAGTGAAAAAGGCAAATAGCATCTTAGTTTTATTAGGCAAATAATGTTGGCATCATGGATCTTCTGAAAGGTCTTGGAGAGTCCCAGGGATCTGGAGACCACATTTTGAGAACCACTCCTATAACAAACAGTTAAGTGTCAACGCATCTCTTTTCTGTATCAACTAAGTAACATCATGATAATTTTGTTTATCACATACACAAATTGAATTAAAACACCCGCAGTGTTTAAGGACAAAATTATTGGTGCCTGACTCAGTCATCCAAAGGTGCTTTTTCAAGAGGCAACTGGACTTTCTTGTTTTTCTTTGAAGGTGTTTCGCTTCTCATCCAAGAAGTTTCTTCTGCTCTGAAGTCCTTGTATTTTATATGGCTTTGGTCATCTAATTTCTGAAAGTGATAAACCACCTACAAAAGTTCAAAAGCAAAACAAATGAAAAATTATATAATCATTTCCGTGAAAAAAGTTAAAAAAATAATCGTGCTTTGAAACTTCTTGGAACACTAGTAGACATGATCTCCAGATCTTCTTGGAGCTGGGAGTTCCACTGTTTTGGTATTGCAGCAAGACATATATATCCTTCATATATTCCATCATGAGCACCTCAATAGAAGATGTGCACAAGAGTCTTTCTAGCTAATTGAAGAGAAAGAAGGCCTTATTCATCATAGGCAGATCGTATCATTTTATATTAATATAGAGAAGAGTACTCAATACTTGTACATGTGTATTTTGTAATGCCTGTGCTGGCTCCAGAAACTCAGCTTATATTTGGAAGAGATTGCTTCTCCTCTTTTATGCTGGAGGCATAGAGTTACCAAAGTTTCTTCCTGCCCACCCAATATGTTTTCCTAACCAACTATTTTCTCTGGAGGGGGTGGAATGAAACTCAACCAATTTTAATTAAAACCCACCGGCTGCTATTAAATAAGCAGAAATCCCCTCAGACTTGAGCAGGGAGACATCTGGTTTCACTTGCAGAAAGCAACAGCTCTGTTGCTTTTTCACATAAGTGCTATTCACAGTTTCCATAACCATCTGACAAGAATATAGATTTCACCTGTGTAAAAAGTTAGTGATTTTAATTGAATTATTTCTCAGTTGTGAATTTAAATTCTCAGCTTATGAGCCTTTTGTTCCCAGCTGAACATAATTGCTACCATAATGAAGAAATTGTGGTGTATTCCAAGGGCCTCACAACCAAATCTAAAATTAATTAGTAAATCTTGCTATGCATGTGGAATCCCTAAATTGCATCAGTGCCTCTGAGGATGGGATTCTTGTCCAGTTGAGATTCTGTTCCAGTAGTTTTGCTGAACAGAAAATATGTTTCAGTATATATGATGCAGCATTTTTGCAACGTGGTTTTCAACAAAGGGACATTTTTGACTATATTTTTCCTCAAAATTATAAAGGATGAATATAAAATTTTAGCTCATCTTGTGATCTATTTTGTGTGCTATCAAATCAACGTTGACTCTTAGCGATCACATATATTTTCTCCATTTGTCAATCATTTTATATATCCTAGTTTTCTAGGTTAAAATATAGGGATGGCTTTTTATTGCTTTCTCCCACGCAGTATGAATTGATGTCTTTGTTCTGATGATCCTCCGCCTCCAGCATCTTCCTATGTGGTTGATCTGGTAACTTGGTTATGATTAGTGTTGCTGCTTTTATCTGAGCTCATTTTTTAAAAAACAAATTGGTGTTTTGCTCTGATGTTTTTAATCTCATTTTTATTATACAATACAATACAATAGCAGAGTTGGAAGGGACCTTGGAGGTCTTCTAGTCCAACCCCCTGCCTAGGCAGGAAACCCTATACCATTTCAAACAAATGGCTATCCAACATTTTCTTAAAGACTTCCAGTGTTGGGGCATTCACAGCTTCTGAAGGCAAGCTGTTCCACTGATTTAATTGTTCTAACTGTCA